GCCCCGGTCTCGGGGGGGCAGAAACGTCCCCGGTGATGAACCGGCCCTGCGGGGGCGGGCTGAGGCGCCCCGCCCCGGGCGTGCAAACGCGCTCGCCTTTTTGTCTCTCTGCCTTTTTTCCCTTCTTTTTCCCTCTGTCTGTTTTCATAGAACCACAGAATCGTTAAGGCTGGAAAAGACCCCTAAGATCATCCAGTCCAACCGTTAACCCAGCGCTGCCAAGGCCACCACTAAACCATGTCCCTCAGCACCACATCCACCCGGCTTTTAAATCCCCCCAGGGATGGGGACTCAGCCCCTGCCCTGGGCAGCCTGGGCCAGGGCCCGACAGCCCTTTGGGGGAAGAAGTTTTCCTAATACCCAACCCAAACCTGCCCTGGCGCAGCTTGAAGCCCTTCCCTCTCGTCCCTCTGTCTTTTTTCCCTCTGTCTTTTTTCCCTCCCCTCCCTTGTCCTTCCTTCTTTTTTCTTTTCTCTTTTTTCTTTTCTCTTTCTTCTTTTCTCTTTTTCCTTGCAAACCTGCTTGTGCGTGCGTGTCCTTTCCTTGCTAACAGGGCTTTGGAGATTTCAGGTTCCTGTGGGTTCGGTTCCCATCTGTAAGTAGGGTTCCGCTCCTCCAGGCGGTCGGTAGAAGCCCTGGCACAGAGCAGCAGTAAATGCACGGGGGAAGCGCCTTCGCTCGCCCGCCTGAGCCCCTGTCGCTTCAAAAGAGCCAATGCTCGCGCACACCAGTGACTGCCCAGCAACACCCAGTACCGGCGGTTACTGCAGCTCGGGCGATGGGGAAGCAGACGGGGCCAAAGCAGGGTGAGGTTATGCAGCGCTATGTGACAGTGGTTTGCGTTTGGGGACATTTAACTCAGCAGCCGGAGGTTTTAGTGGCTTTAAGGGATTTTTGGTCTGTGCGACTGTTACATTTCATGGAAGACCAGGCTGCGGGATGAGTTTACCTGCACGGGTAAGGTAAAACGATCAGGTCTGTGAAGGGGTGCAGGTGGGACCGCCGGATCTGCTGCGTCTGCAGGGAACTGGCCGGGGCCGTGCCGGGGGAGCCGGGCCTCCCCGCGCGCGGGGGTCCGCGGGCCCTGCGCGCTTTGCCTTGCTCAGAGCTCGTCGCGTGCGCGGGTCGCTCCGCGCGGCGGGGCACGACCCTCAAAGGACTCTTCCCCGGCCGCCTGAGCGTGTTGTATTTGTGCCAGGGAGTTTGTTAGAGAGAAGAAATACAAAACGGAAGCGGAAGCATTTGGCTGGAGCTTTGTCTTTGAGGATTTCTTATCCGAAGAGCTGAAGAAAAAAGTCACCCAAAGACTGGAGGTAAATCTAAATCCCTGGGGGTTGAGTTTCAGTGGGGATGGTGGAGGTGGTGTTTCTGATTGCGTCCCTGTCCGACCTCTCCGTTTTAAGTAAAAAAAACCCAGGCAGGGAGGCCTTGCCGGTATTGCTTTTCCACTGCGCAGCTGCCAGCTCTCGGTGCAGAGTCCGGCCGTTCTCGGTGGTTTTTCTTTAGTCTTGGGTTGTTTTGCTTTTAGGACTAACAGCAGGGTTGAGCCTGGGTTGGTTTCTGGCGCTCCTCTGTCTACCCCCTCTCCGAACACTGCCAGGCTGGCCTCGGGAGATGCTCCAGTGAGCTGGGAGAGAGCAAAGCGCCTTCGAGTGCTTTATTAATCAAACTTTAAAATAGAAACACTGAACAGCATGGCCGCCTTGGTCTGTTTTCACTTCTAAAAGCAGACACCTCTACTCCGTTGGGAAGCGCTGTCCAAACGCCCGTGACAACCCAGCTCAAACCGCAGCCTTCAACCATTTCCAGACTAACGCGCGCCCTTTATGCGCTGCTGGGGGGGGCACTGGTTCGGCTTTAATCTGGTGTCCCTCCTTTTCCCAGTCTGCCCCGTGGTGGCTGCCCGTCGAGAAGGCTTTTTGGCGACAGGTGAGTCCTGGTGGCGGTGAGTCCGCTCCGTGCTGGGAGCGTGCTGGTGCGTGCTGACCCGTACTGACCGAAAATGGGGGAAAAACAGCATCTCTGGTTGCTGCACGTTCCCTGCCCTGGTCTGTCCTGTCCTTTAGTCCCTTTTTAATGGAAAAGTTTATAAAATCCATTAACATCTGTTCGGCGCAATTCCTGCCAGCCCTCAGGTCCTGGCTCCAGCATCAAGGACAGGCTGGATTACCCGGTGCTGCACGTGAGCTGGAACGACGCGCGGGCGTTCTGCGCCTGGAAAGGGAAGCGGCTCCCGACGGAGGAGGAATGGGAATTTGCTGCCAGGGGAGGACTGGAGCGTACGTACTGCCAGCTCTGACCTCTTCCCAAACCGAGGCATCAAGTAATGTTAGGTCTACCGGATCTAAACCTCCATCCAGGGATGTTTTCAGAGGTTAATCTGGGGGCTGCACCACCTCTTTTGGCCTGGGAATCAAATTATTATTATTATTATTATTATTATTATTATTATTATTATTACTACTA